TACCCTCGGGTGGCTCACCAAAGGGTGAGTCAAGTTGAAATGGCAACGTCCTTCTCTAAACTTTACCCTCGGGTGGCTCACCACAGGGTGAGTCAAGTTGAAATGGCAACATCCTTCTCTAAACTTTACCCTCGGGTGGCTCACCAAAGGGTGAGTCAAGTTGAAATGGCAACATCCTCCTCTAAATTTTACCCCTGCCTTGCCCACAAAAGGGTGAGTCAAGTTGAAATGGCAACATCCTTCTCTAAATTTTAACCCTGCATGGCCCACAAAAGGGTGAGTCAAGTTGAAAATGGCAACCTCCTTCTCTAAATTTTACCCTCGGGTGGCGCACCAAAGGGTGGGTCAACTTGGAAGAGCAACATCCTTCTCTAAATTTTACCCCTGCCCACAAAAGGGTGAGTCAAGTTGAAATGGCAACATCCTTCTCTAAATGGGTGAGTCAAGTTGAAATGGCAACATCCTTCTCTAAATTTTACCACTGCCCACAAAAGGGTGAGTCAACTTGGCACGGCCACTTCCCTCTCTGAACTTTACCCCTGCCTTGCCCACAAAAGGGTGAGTCAAGTTGAAATGGCAACATCCTTCTCTAAATTTTACCCTCGGGTGGCTCACCAAAGGGTGAGTCAAGTTGAAATGGCAACATCCTTCTCTAAATTTTACCCTCGGGTGGCTCACCAAAGGGTGGGTCAACTTGGAAGAGCAACATCCTTCTCTAAATTTTACCCCTGCCCACAAAAGGGTGAGTCCAGTTGAAATGGCAACATCCTTCTCTAAATTTTACCCCTGCCCACAAAAGGGTGAGTCAACTTGGCACGGCCACTTCCCTCTCTAAACTTTACCCCTGCCTTGCCCACAAAAGGGTGAGTCAAGTTGAAATTGGCAACATCCTTCTCTAAATTTTAACTCTGCATGGCCCACAAAAGGACATCCTTCTCTAAATTTTACCCTCGGGTGGCTCACCAAAGGGTGAGTCAAGGTGAAATGGCAACATCCTTCTCTAAATTTTACCCCTGCCTTGCCCACAAAAGGGTGAGTAAAGTTGAAATGGCAACATCCTTCTCTAAATTTTAACCCTGCATGGCCCACAAAAGGGTGAGTCAAGTTGGAGTGACCACTTCCTTCTCTAAATTATACCCTGCCCACAAAAGGGCGAGTCAAGTTGAAATGGCCCATCTTTCTCTAAATTTTACCCTGGGGTGGCTCACGAAAGGGTCAGTCAACTTGGAAGACCCCCTCACGATGCAAGTGTGCGAGCAACGACGAGCACACTTTTCTCTATGGCACGGAGAGCAATATTGGGCAGAAACATTCTGGAGCCAAATGAATTATGCGGAAGCTGACTGAAGGATTGGGTGACAACTGTGTGACAACCTCAGTGAAGGCATGAGTGACTAAGTCAGCAAAGAAAGAAGTAAGTAAGTGGCCAGGTTAATGAATGAATGAGTGAAAGAATGAAAGAATGAATGAATGAATGAATGAATGAATGAAAGAAGGAGTGAGTGAGTCAGTGAGTGAGTCAGTGAGTGAGTCAGTGCGTGAGTGAGTGAATGAGGGAGTGAGTGAGAGAGAGAGAGAGTGAGTGAGAGAGTGAGTGAGTGTGAGTGAGTGAGAGTGAGAGTGAGGTTGAGGCAGCACATTCGCGTGTACAGACGAGGCATCTCACGTGCGTGTACAGACGAGTCACCTTGCGCGTGTGCAGACGAGGCGCTGGCCAGTAGTAGTAGTAGTAGTAGTGGTAGTGGTAGTGGTAATGGCAGTGGTACTATAGTATATAGTAGTATTACTAGTAGTCGTCGTCGTTGTGGTCGTCGTCGTAGTCGTCGCGGTTAGTCGCAACATGCCAAACTATCAACTGGACATCGGTGGTCTCCTCTGTCCTAAGCTCATACTTACTCGGCGACATGGAATTAAGACAAGGGCAAGCTTTGGTTGATGCTAGGGAATCTCTCACAACAGTGTCTCTCTTGTCTTCTTGACGCATTTCTCCCTGTCTGCACCTTCCTCTGGTTGCTGAGCAAAGCGTTCCGAGCCAATCTGCACAAGCCAGTGTTTGTCACGGTGAACAACCACAAAAATTCTCGCGCCCAGCCCAGCTGACTATGTCTGTTGTTTCAACACTGTGACATGCGGATGCTCACATGCTGCCCAAACAAAACAGCGTGCGCTGCCAACTGCGGACGTCCTTTTGCCCACTACCCCCCTACACCACGCCTGCTGCAGGATGTCGATGTGGAAAGGGCTCACCCCATGCGAGGGGTCGAGACGGAAGGGCGCCCCCTGCGAGTACGCATCAACGGTCACAATTCGCGACTCACGAACTGCAACCTGCATGAACACTCCACTGCCATCAAGTACTTCCACAGACATTCATTCTCTTTGCGCGCGCCTTCTTGAAGTAGCCGACGACGACACGCTTCCGTTGACTGCCGGCTCGAATGGACAGAACCTGCGTGAGATGGCCGAAGTCTGATGCAGCTTTATTTACCCCCAAACCTACGACGTCCCGGCTCGGGTCTCGCGCACGAACCCCTTCCATGCTGGCACAAGACCGTCTTCAGTGAACACAACGCTTCTGCGTACCTGGTCTGGATTGGCGCCGTCCACGCTCAGCACTTCCAGTTCCATGGGCGGAGAACAGTCGGCAAGAAAGAAGACTCAAAGTATGCTGAAGTGTCTGTGTGTTGAGTGTATTCTATTTCCTATCATAGTGAGTGATAGAGGCTACCGACTGTTACTCGCAGGCCTATTTGCATTTTTCGGCCACAACTGCTTGCCCTGCCAAAGCATCAGTCAACGTCTGACCCTGTCCGAACCAAAGGTGCCTGTTGTTCCGCGCGCCACGTTCGGATGCAAAGAAGAACGCGAACAGCGGTGTCTCACCGCCGCCCAGAGGATCCCTGTTGATTGGGGGTTGGGGTGTACCAGGGTAAAGCTCGCATCAAGAAAGCACCACTTTTGCCGTTTCTGGCTTTTCTCACAGGCAAGCGGCAAGCCGTCATTATCCTGATGCCCTGTCAAAAAGCTGCACCCTCCTCTTGTCATCACGACACACGCAACATGTGGGTCAAACAACCAGTTTTGCGGGGTCAAAGACAACGGCGCCGTGGGTCGAAAAAAAGAGGCTTGGTGGTCCGAAAGAAAGGTTCATTGGTCAAGCTGGAAGGGTTGCGGGGGTCAGAAGAAAAGGATTGTGGGTCAGAAAAGAGCGGTTGTGGGTCAGAAAAGAAGGGTTGTGGGTCAGAAAAGAAGGGTTGTGGGTCAGAAAAAAAGGGTTGTGGGTCAGAAAAGAAGGGTCGTGGGTCAGAAAAGAAGGGTTGCGGGGGTCAGAAAAAAAGGTTTGTGGGTCAGGAAAGAAGGATTGTGGGTCAGAAAAGAAGGGTTGTGGGTGAGAAAGAAGAGTGCGGGGGTCAGAAAAAAAGGGCTTGTGAAAGTATTGGCTTACACGGACAGCACCGTCATTCAGATGAAGAAGAGAGGGGCGCAGAAGGAGAAAGAATTTGTTTCCTCTCGGTAGAGCGTACCCGGGGTGTATGAGGTCACGCAACACGGGCTGTGAAGAAAAGAAGAGTTGTGGGTTAGAAAAGAAGGATCGTGGGTCAGAAAAGAAGGTTTGTGGGTCAGAAAAAAAGGGGTTGTGGGTCAGAAAAGAAGGGTGCGGGGGTCAGAAAAGAAGGGTTGCGGGGGTCAGAAAAAAAGGTTTGTCGGTTAGAAAAGAAGAGTTGTGGGTCAGAAAAGACGTGTTGCGGGTCAGAAAAGAAGGATGCGGGGGTCAGAAAAGAAGGGTTGCGGGGGTCAGAAAAAAAGGTTTGTGGGTCAGAAAAAAAGAAGAAGAGTTGTGGGTCAGAAAAGAAGGGTTGTGGGTCAGAAAAGAAGGGTTGTGGGTCAGAAAAGAAGGGTCGTGGGTCAGAAAAGAAGGGTCGTGGGTCAGAAAAGAAGGGTTGTGGGTCAGAAAAGAAGGGTTGTGGGTCAGAAAAAAAGGGGGGGTCAGAAAAAAAGGGTGCGCGGGTCAAAAAAAAAGGGAGCCCCCACTGGAAATTCAACCAAAAGACACACCCACGTGGCCATCAACATGACGTCAAGTCTTCCGCTGGTTCATCGACTGGCAACTCACCACCGAGTTCGCGCCGCTCTCGTCTCAGCATAGACCAAGCTGCGATACTTGTAAATCTCGCCGTAGACCAAGCCAATCCGCCCCGCACCGTCCAAGTCGTTGTAGTCGTCAAAGACCACTTGATCTTCTGGCAAAGGGAACCTCGAAGACTCAAGGACTCACCCATTCTGCACGAGACTCTAAGGTGTTTGTCTCAAAATGAAGGCACCGAAGAGGTGTTGGAAGATGTTGGAAGTCCTGCGTAGGGCCCTGATAGCAAAATATCTTTGTACTGTTGTGACAGTACTGACTATACTATTTCCCTATACCAAAACAGTTTAGCCCACCTCCCAGAAACAACAGAGGAGCTCTCAGATCACTCACCAAGCCACAAGGGTCCCACGCCCCGGAAGTGCAGCGACTGCCCTTGTGCTCGTTGCACCCGCCACCCGGTCAGCGGGACACCGCCATTGTCCACGGGCTCCTGGTAGGCCTCAGGGTGTGGTGGAGCGGTTGCCGTTCGCCCCGTTTGGGTTCAGAGGTCTGAAACCGTCTTGGACCATCACAACTAGGGTTTTAGGACCAAAAGCAGCATGTAGCAGATGGTGCAAAAAAACCTGTAGCCTCTGGGTGGGAAGTGATGGTGATGCGGTCAGGAGATTTCTTGTTTTTGTTGCTGGAGCGAGCGAGGGGAGCGAACGTGTGGAGTGATCAGTTGTTGCGACGATGGAACACGGAGATGGATTGAAAGAAAAGTTGGAAAACCTGGTGTCGGGAAACCTGAATTCTTAGTCGAGTTGGACATTTGGTTACCTCCCAATCAACCCCAATCCCAGTCTCCCACTGCATGTGGGAGGACCCCAGACCCCGACCCTGCAGGTGCAACCTCCACGGCCCGACTGACGGGATCGACTCATCGGCTGGTCAGGTCCGAATCGATGTCATAAACCTCCCAGCGCCGACGAGTCTCGGCTGTTCAGTGCGCTTTCGCACATTTCTGGGCAACAGTGACCGAGCATGACAATGAAACGACAACTCAGGGAGATCAAAGCAAGTCGGCTAAGTGAACTCGACACAAGTCAAACAAACGAAGACCATCCGATTCATACGATACCCAGTTTCCACTAATCCGTCCATCAATTCCTGACAAGGCCCCTAGGTAACTGGTAGTTTCCCATATCCCCTCCCTCTTTAGTGTGAACATCGGCAAGCACTCCACGTTCGTGAGGGGAAAAAAAACATACATTCCAGGAGTGGCCATGCATGTCATTTACTGTAACCACTCTAGCCATGGAATGCGAGCGTAGCGGCGTACACGTAGTGTCTAGTCTGGGGAGTTGCCCAAAGAACTCGTGTTCGCCATCAAAACTATATATGTTGGGTGAGCCGTGCGCCCCTGGAAACTCTTCGCTCAAATCATAGTACTGTCTTTGAGAGGAAGGAGCGGCAGCAATGCTCAGGATTCCTAGCAATGGAGAGTCCGCTTGTTGCCTAGCAACACGTAGCTGCATGTGGCCCAATCCGCAGGCCCGAAAGGACCTTGTTAAGCTGAGATCATGAGATTAAACGTTGTCAAAGCATGTTGTTGATGGGCCAGTGAAGAGCACGTGAGGTAGGATAGAATGACACCAACGTGAGAATCACCCACATCGCCCAATATCAAACCGCCTGGTCCAAACCGGACAGGCGATGTCCTTCCCAGGTTCACAGTCCAGCAACGATGCGAATGTGATTCTCGATCAGTCCACGCGTGTCAGTGGCCTGCGATGGTGAGCAGATTTGGGGGACATTTGGAGGGAAGGAGAAGGACATGCAAAGCCTCGTGGTTCTTCTTGACCAGGTCTAAATCTGTACGCTGATCTTCGGAGATTGACAGATTGACATGGGACATGTTTGACATGTGAGCCAAACAAGGGGTGCGAATGATGCACTCCCTACTAGCCCTACTGTTGCAGGAAGAACCTCGAGCAAAGTCCTTACCGCCGTGCCCGGCGCGCCCGGTGGGAAGCTCTTGTTGCCATCTTTGCACCAAGATCTCCAAACAGGACCTACAATGATTTTCAAGAGACACCTCCTCCAAGAGTTTCGCGTCTCCTCGCATGCTTGCCTCTGCTGGCCAGGGCATCATGCCCTTCTTGCGTCTTGCAGTGGTTTTTCTCCCACTCGTCGTGTCTTTCTTAACCTTCCTGTGTCTGACATCCCTCGAGGCCCGAGGCCCTTTTTTCAGCATGCAACGTGTTGGTGGGCAAGATTGGATTGCACCATAATTAAGCCGGGCCGTATTGAAACAGTGTCACAGCGACATACCCCCCAAAAAGAAGACTGCTCAACCACGAGTCATTCCGCGTAATGAACGTGTGTCGGACGCTGCCTCAAAGTTGCCTCACAAATTTATCTAACACGTCCCAGTCAAACTGTCTTCACAAATCTAATCTAAGGCCTCTGAGCTCCTTATGCTCCATAGAATGGCAATTTACTGGCTTAGTCTACGAGCGCTGGCTTCTGCGGAGGTGCTGCGAAGCATGTGTTGCAGAAACGACAAGATTCTATCAGATTCTCACGTGCAAACTAGCTTGGCAAATCTTGTCACCCTGATCTTCAAGTACCGAGCACCTGCCATAGCAAGAAGCATGAATTTGCAAGTACCAGGATTAGTCCTTCCACACTTTCGATGTCATATCTTGCCACACCGACTTGGGATGGACATACGTTGACCCGTTAGGGGTTCCATGCACGACCTCGAACAAAAGCTTTGGCTTCCTGCATGCAAGAAAGGTGGTCATGAGACATATACAATATAATGTTTGGCTTTCTCCGGACATGCGCGCTGCTCAAGTCCTGGAACATACATTACATGGGTCTCAGATGGTATGTGTTGCCAACTCAACCACTAGTAACTAGTACATAGTCAACATCTAGTTGTTGACGTATTCTGTGGACCACACTTGGGAAGGCATCTTGGCAAAAAGCCTTTGCTCCCATCAAAGTTTAGATGCAAGCGACGAACGTGAACTCATATGGGTGACCTCTTTCGACGCTTTCGCACCAGCAAAGGGTCAACCTCCTGACCTCCTTTATATATTTCCTTGGCAAACAGTCCACCTTTTTCCACTGGTTCAACTCCCAAGAATGGTCAAAGATTCTCCACTGACTGCATATGCCGGAAACACCCACGCCTCAGCCTGACAGTCCACATGGACGATGATGGGAGGCCTCACTTGCCGGGGCGGATCGTTCGGAGGCATTGTCCCGACAGATCTTCTGCGGACGTTCAGTCTGAAGTCCGGTCATCCTCCAAAAGGCGGAGGTTCTTGAGAAAGAAAAACAACGACACACCCATGAATCAACGCCTTGGCTTGATTGACGTTCCTCGATATATGTTGTTTCTTTCACCAGACTGCTGGTGGAAGTTGCTTCAAAATCAATCTCACTAGTTCACTGGATGTATTTGAGGTTGTGAACACGTTCTGTTTGAGGTTTGCCCCACATATCACCTTTGAGAGAGAGGTGACCACAAAGCTTGCAGCAAAGCTGGCTTCCCTCTCCATCCCTAGTAACTGGCATTGGTCAAAGAGGAGAAACCATGTTCCACAGTAGAAATTCTATGGCCCCTTCAGCTGATGGCTCTCCCGGTCTGATAAGGCCTCAAGCCTCCACTGACTCGCACCAAGGTGCTCAGGCTGGTATGGACGTCGCGCACAGTAGCGGGTGATCTGATTCGGCTCCTGGCAGCGTCCAGGGTTTTCTTGAAGCATTTGGGCCAAGCCCTGTTGAACAAATACTCTTTTCTTCACAGGGTTCACATATTTGGGGATTTCAGGGTCTGTTCTTCGTTCATCTTCGTTGTTGACTTCCATGTGTCACGCAAATGGTGAAACCTGCATACGCATTTCCATGGCTGTGGGTCATCTCCTCTCACAACAAACTCGCGTGAAAGCCACAAGAAATGCCTGCCCAAGAACAGTTGGAAGTCAAAACACTTGTACTCCGAGTGAACAAGGCACAACAAGTCCAATCAGCGCCTCATCCGGCTTTGACAAAACACCACCAGGACGCGGCAAAACAGAACGTGCGCAGAACGAGACATGGCGGCGCCTTGCCCAGGCCGCCGTTCACCGCCTGCACCGCTAAGTCTCGAAGCTCTCCACGAGTGCAATTCAGCAAGGTGAACCTCAGCTCCAAGCGCCCCCGGTCTTTTGTTGAAGCGCCAAGCGCTGAGGAAGCCGGAGCCTTGGAGCCGCCGTTCATCGGTTTTTGGGGCCGAAACACATCTCCAGATCTTGGAGAAAAGGAGCAGCTGCGTTAAGTGTTACCTAGAACACCTCTATCCTCTTTGACTATACCTCTTTGACTCCCAGAACCTCCGACCAAACCCCCACAATTCGAAGTGCAATCATGGGATTCACGTGGATTCGCCGAACAGCCTTACATCTTTCACCGGTGTCCAATCATTCGACCACGCTCTACCGCCACCCAAACGTCTCTACCGCCACCGCGGCCGCGCGGCTCTCGTGTCACCGGATCGGTGGCTCCATCATACGCCAACTCTCCATCCACATAGACTCGATAGCCCTGCACCTCAAGGCCTTGGCCTCGGACAGTCTGAGCATGTCTGAGCAGGCCGGTGGAAATGGCGGGTGCAACCGAAGGTCAAGACGGATTCCAAGGTGATTTTACGTTTGGGTTTTGTGCATTCCAAGTCGGAGTGAATCTTGTTCTATTATAATAGATGTCCTTCCGCCACCATTCCCTTTCATCGCCATTCCCCCCGTCGGCGGCCTGGCGGTTCGATCCAGCTGATGCGCACCGTCATCTGATCCGAGCCCAAGATCACGATCTCTGGAGGGTCTGGTAGCCCCCCAACCACCTAGGGTGGGCGGAATTCACTTCACTGCAGTGAGCGAAGGAGAAACCATTGAGGGCAATTCTCAGAATATTGCTGAGCTTTGATTAGGTTGAGCTAATGAATATTAGGTTCAAGATTATTCATTCTGGTTCCCCACAAATTGTTGATTGAGACTTGTAAGCCCACAGCACTGAGACTTCCATCACCACAGCCACGCACTATCAACATCTGGGATACAGCCAAGGCCAGGCCCAGTAGACAAACGCACATACTAAACCAATATGTGCTTTGCATGCCGCGGGTTCTATCCTATTTTATGCTCACATACATAATGATTAAACTAATTACTGTAAGGCGGTGGTTTTTTCCACCTTCTCTCCAGTGACTGACGTGACATCTCGTCTCCTATCCTTGACCAACGTCCACGGCGATCGTTTCCGCCTCTACGGCGGGAGACCACGACGTCCCAAACGCACCGAGGGCGGCGGCCTTTCTGCGGCCGAGAAGCAATCTTCACCTCGTTGGAGTAGCTCACGGAGCCCGAGCCCGCGGCATTCACGGCGTAGGTGCGGTAGACGTACTCGTGGCTGGGCACGGCCAGAACCTCGAAGCTGGGGATTTTGCCCAAAAACTCAGGGAGGACGAGGTTGGTGTGTTGTTGTTCTTATCTTCAAGCTCCTACAGGTGCGTCCGATTTGCCATTTCGGTCGTCCGATTCGATTGAGCACACCCCGTGTGTCTGAGGGAGCCATCACTCCGCTCGAAGGACCGGCAAAGGATGTTAGGTTTGAATCCTTCGCACGACCTTGGAAGGAGCTAAGGCCGGCTGGGAGCGGCTGGGATGACTCTTTAGCAAAAACACGGAAACGGTCATGTAGCCTCATTGACTTCAAGATTGAGACTCCAGAGCGTCTTGTTGATCTGTTTATCAGCCAGGAAGATTGTCCTTTGGCAGGGCAGCTTGAACTCACGGGCCACCTGGCTCACATATGACACGTTCTTTTTTCAGTTCAGGAGCATCGTTGTACGCCAATGCAGTGCTCTCATAGCTGGCTGCACTCAATTCCATCCAGGAGCCCAAGTCCGTCTCAAGGACGTAGCAAAACCTGGTCACCGGTGCTGGGGAGGCCCAACATCCCAAATCCCTCGGGTAGCATCCCAGCACCAAGCACTTATATAAGTTCACCTATCACCAACTCACTTCCTGAAATCATTCATGATTGTAGAGGATTTCATGGTCATCCAAGGGGGCCATTCATTTCCACCTTGATGATGATTGATGTCATATCATTTCATCCAATCATATGATTATTATTTGATCATATCCAATGATATCCAATACACTCCTTGGAGTGTATCCATCATCCGAAATTGCCAACCACGCCACTGGTTCGTGGCATATGCCAGGTCTGCCACGCCTGTCACCTCGCCTCCCAAGGCCCGGCTGCAGGAGACAACCTCAGCACATGGACAGCCCATCCGCCCGTGACCAACGTATGAAACATGTCTTTTTGCGAGGGCAAAGGCACATACATCATCATATGTCCAAGGGTTAGTTTTTGAAAGAACCCCCTTCTCTTCAGCTTCATCTGCGGCAAAATCATCCACCCATCCCTTCGAACTTCCGAACGTCCGACACCGAGTCGCGCGACCCCGAGTCGCGCGTCGGGCGGGGCCGAGCTGCGCCGTTTTGGTGGCTGGTGTCCCAGACGCTGCTCTCCAACTTGCCGAAGTACACTGGGGTGATCCCATCGCTGTAGTCCGCCTCCGGAGCGCCGCCCGTTTCGGGGAAAGGCGCCAGTTTTTGCTGGGAAAAGGGTGTTCATTGTGTGAGTGATGTTTGAGGTGCTTGATTCCGAGAAGGTCTGCAATGTCTACATGAGCAGACTTTTTTCATGTCTGGGCAACCCCCTAGATCTTTAGAGCCAAGAGAAATTAAAGGCGGGGAATGTCAGTCAATGTCGTTTACATGTCATGTTCACATAACGAAAATAGACTGAGAGTCAATTGTAAGAGAAACCTTCCCCCGGCATAAACCCACCAATATGTATGGACTCATGTAATTTGATCTCAAAAGGACTGGTCTAATCTGATTCCATTAAAGAAGAAAAACTGAGACTTGATCAGCCAGTTGCAACAATACATCAACCTCCTGTTACTTAATAACTAGTAATTTCTATAATACATAGAAATAGTTTCAACTTCCATGGGATGCTCGTACTGCAAGGTTACAACAATGAACTTGACGTACTGCTTTACAATAATTTGCTATTCACTTCAACTTTCACACGTCTACGTCGTCTAGCCTACCATTCGCCATCCAAATCTTCAGGTCTGCGGCCCGATCTCAGCGATCGCACCTGAGTCCCGGCGAAGGCCGGCACCGAGGCGTTCAAGTCGCAGTTGCCCCCCTCCTGGCACTCGGTGAGTCGATGAGTGGCGCAGGTGGTGAAACGGGGCGAAGGACGGACAGTGGACGGCCGCTTTTGCGCCGTGCCCGGGCCGTTCCCAGCGCGGCGCCTTGCTGCAGAGGCCGAACTGCAGGGTCTTGGTCCCACCACCACAGGCACAGCATGCCTCCGCTGCTGTGCGGCTCCACAAGCCAGGGGAGCGAACCTGGGGTCACGAAGTCGCCCGGCTTCGGGGGCTTCGGAGTCGAAGTGGATTGGATTTAGAACCGAAAGCCCATGAAAGGAAAGGAATCCGCCGGCCCTTGGGCGCGGCGTGTTTTAGGTGATTGGTTCGTATGCTATCCTAGTAGTAGTTTTGCTTTTAGTCTAATTGTACCCACGGCGCGGACTTTTGACAAGTCTAACTTTTCCCCCCCTCCCCCCCCCTCCCCTCAGCCAAAAGGGCCGGCGGAACAATCCGCAGGGGTAAATATATTGAGAGTGTATGAAGATTTATGGAGCATAGCGCACGCATGGTTAGGGGATTCCAAGATCCCACGGAATATCCCAAAGGAGACCCTGAAGAAGGAAGATCTGTTCACCCTTCGCTGTTCAGGGACTGTCACCGCCTTGCTGCCTCGTGGCCCCAAAGACCTCGCAACGGCCCGGCTCGCTCGCATACCACGCGCAATCGAAGGCCACGCCATCGGCATCGTACCAGCCCTGGCGGCGGAAGCGGTTGGCGCCGGTGGTTTCAAGGCGCCCGAGGCGTGACGTTTTTGTATGTTCGGGGTAGGCAAGAGAGAAAGGAAGACAAGTCATGCCAGACCCCCTTTGAAGCAGTTGTGTTCTTAGATCAAAATAGCTGGAGCCCTTTGTAAAATGTTGTAAACAACACCTTGTCCATGGGTGGTTATGTTTCAACTCGAGTCTCTCACACATTGGCCACCTGCGGCTCATCTGCGCAGGACTCTGTGAAGACATAGCACTCACGAAGCGGCTCGAAGCCCAGGTCCGGGTTGTACACTGCCGTTGGGAAGAGCGGATCTCCAAAGACGTCCTGGAATTTCAGTTTGTCCAGACCTACTCCATGCAGGGTGGCACCTACTGCGACACCTACTGCTACCTTCAACTCATGAAGCTGCTACTGTTGTTCAGCTTCTGGCATCGAGCGTTGAAATGGAAGGAAAGAACTTGGTAACCTAGAAGGAAACTCATCAAGTGTTGAAGACCCAAGCAGGTTGCTCTGTGGGTTGTGGCTTGGGAATGACATCTTGGTGAATGAAAATATGGATGATGCCAACAGTGACATATAAATTCACTGAAACCGGGAACCCCGGATCTCACAACAGCATCACGCTACCTCAAACATTGCTCAGTCTTTCAATCACAGTTTTCCACGGTTGGATCCTGCAAGGGCGGGCTTCAACGGGAAGACACCAAGAAGGATGTGTCTTTCTTTTCAGGCTTTCATTGCTACACCAACGACTTCCTCTACCCCACCTCACACCCAAAACATCCAAAAAACCAGCTCTTCGGCCTTTTTTCGGGGCCTGTGAAACAGGTCTCTTCCTCCCCCCAGTCCCCCGCTCCGTGGAACAGGCGATGGAGCTCTGCTGAGCGCGGCGGACGTTCCGCACGGAGACGCCTCGGAGCCGTGACGTGCACCGGAGCGTTGGAGACTCGGAGATGTATCATCTTGGATTGTAATGAAGAGAAGCAAACGGTCACAGAGGTTTGAGACAGCCCATATGAAAGACCAAGACTCTAAAGGAAACAAATGCCCAGTTCGGAGAGCTCCGAATGCATGTTGATAGTCTTCAGCCAAGACTTTGCATAGTTTCTGATGAAATGTTCCTCTAAGATGTTCCGTCAGATTCGTGAAGCACTTAAGACTTAAGTTCCTTTCCAGAGTGTACAGAGTACAGAGTGTAGTGCACCGCACCAGAGGCTCGAAGGCCATTGTGTGCGTCCCTCCAGGTTCTCCATCTCCCCCCCACCTCCTTCCCACCAAGGCACGGCCCGTGTAAATGCGCACCTGTTCGGGCTGCTCTTCCATCAACTCCCGTTCCCCGTTCCCGTGCGCCGAGAAGTTCCCGATCACACCTGGACGGGTTGGATCCATTCGGGCTGCGCAGGTCTCGATTCACTGTGCTTCGGAAGGCGCAAAGGGGGGGGGGGCAAAAAGGAACTCTTTGGGCAGCGATTGGGTGTGCCTGCTAGCCCAAATGGGGCAGGGGTTGTGTTCCATTCCAACACCCGCATCTTCACTTGCTACCTTTGATCTCGATAGCTCGTGGGTACCCCCCAAAATTGCAGTTGCACGGACCCTTAAGATCCCTTGAGCGACCACTGCAGGTGGGCATTGAGCATGTGCTCCCCCTGGAAAAGTAAACTCAGGGGTTGTATTGCAGAATTGTCCCGCCTTGAGAGTGCAGTCTTTGGATGAAAAGGTGAAAGAACGAGGCCCTTCCAGGCCATTCCCTCTGGATTCCTGGATTCCAAGGACCTTTTGTTGTTGCATGGATGTCATAGTCCTCCACAGGAGGCCGAGGCAGCCGAGGCATGCTGACCCGATCTCACCTGTGACCCAGTTCTGCCGGCCCCAAGCCGATCGTGTCACGAATGTCCAAGTCGCAAACACCGCCGTCGTCGCCCAGGTTGTTGATCAACAACTCAGCAAAAAAGGCCACGTCATGTTCAGTGCAACACTCAAGAAAGGCCAGGAACCAAAGAGAACATGAGCACCCGACCCCCCAAATCTTCCAGCAAATGAGTCTTGTGAGACTGCCTCTCCCTAAGGCCGACTAGTACAGGGACGTGGCTCCTTCCTTCAGAACAACCACCCAGGCAAATTTGAGTTAAAGCTAACAATCGCCGTGAACCGTCGAATCCTAAAAACACCCTGCGTATGGGTCACCTTCATGCTTTTTGGTCTGGAACTCCCCAAGTTTCCGATGAAGCTTCCCAATCCTAGAAGAACAATACCAAGCACATCCAAGCATCCATCTATGGTTTAATCTTAATCTACATTGACCTCTGGAACCACGGCCGAGCAGAACCTCTGCCAGTCCTTGCCAGTCCTATAGGTCGTGTCTGGAGTCAAAAGCGCCGAACATTCCTCGCCCAGGCGCTGAACATTGGCTGAGGAAGGTGCCAGGCCAAACCTTCCTGTGACGTGACGAGGAAGAGTCCACACATTGGTCCATGGTCTACACATGGCTGGTCAGTCTGGGTGGGTCAGGGTGGGCTGCTTTGCAAGTTGATGTGTTGAGCTGGGTTTTTGTCGCCTAAGAACCTTAATCACAGGGGTGCAGGTGCTGGGCACTTTGGGCACTCAAAATTGACCAAACCGCTGAGTCTTGAGAGGTTTCCGGTGTTCATTTCAGTTGATCTGCTTCTTGGCGTCTTTCTTCAAGCTTCTGCCGCCCTCACACGAAGATCCACCAAGCCTGAAGCTTGTTGAGACCCTGGGCTGTAGGTAATTCAGTGTGAAACATGTAAAATCAACAGAAGCACAGGTTGGGAAAACCCACCAGGACCATTCCCTCGAAAAACAAAACAGATGGTGTTTCCCGATGGTGTTTCCCCCCACTCCCCGGGTTTCCGCGCCGCCCATCACCCACCTTCGTTGCACGCGGTAGGAGCTGATCGCAGCCGCACCATCGGACAGCGGCTCCGTCCAGGTCAGCGCCACGATGCCTGGACGGCTGGACGGTGGTGTGGCTGGGAACTCGTTCACCACACGGGGCGAGTCTTGGGCAAAACCCACTGGGGGGCATGGAGGTGGGGTTCACCAGGTGGCAGCCGGTGCCTGGAGGCAAAGTAGGCCTTTGTAAAAATCTCCTTGGAGGGATGATCAACGAGTGTGCAGAAGAAATCAGATAAACCGATAAACCTGACCGTGTCTATGGACATAGACATAATACCCGTTGAAGCAATCTGAGGTCAAAGCCGTGTCATCCAGTTGCTCGAACGGTGTGGCTTAAAATGGCTCAAAAACAAGTCTCCAGGACTCCAGCCACTCTCTGCTCATCGCACCTGTGCTGAGCGTGGGCAGGTCCACCACAAAGTTCAGCGGCTCCGAGGGCTTGTTGGCCGCCACCCTTGGCTGGGCGTGGTACGCCAGGTATACCTCTCTTTCAACGTTTTGCAGCATGGCATTCAAGGTGCATGGTGTTTCTCAACCTGAAAAGGTCAAACCTCCAAGGAAGTTTTAACTTATGTTCGACAGGAGTCGATCAAAAGCATGAGGATGGAGGAGTTGCCCTCACCTCTGAACCGTCCAAGCCACGCTGTCACCGTCTCCGAGCGTGAGGAGGGCCCCACCCCAGCGGCGTTCTGCGCCTCGACGAAGAACGAGTAGCTACGGCCTCCCGCACGGCCAGACGCACCAAAGTCGCTAGCTGCGAGTATAGCTTGGGTTCGATCCTATTACCAGCAACAGTGGATGATGATGATTAGGTTCCAGGCCTTTCTCTAAAATAGTGATAACTGTTTACTGACTTCATAGGTAATAGGACAGACTCAAAGTATAGCCCCAAGTTGCGTGATCAGTCAATACAGTCATCAACTCCCATGTCATTCAGATGTCATTCCCAACGAGTTTTACATCAATGAACCGCACCATTGCAGGTCTTCTGGTCCCACTTGTCCACTTCTCCCTTCCATCGTCCCTTCTTCTGGTCCCCCATCTCCTTCTCGTCTCGTCTCGTCTTAGACCACATCGTGTTCGTCTGGTGTCTCGTCTTGTCTCGCGACGCCTGGAATGATCTCCATGTTCCGCAGGCGGCCATCATTGGCCACGAAGCTCCAACCAGTGAAGGTGAAGCTGTTCTGTCCTGGAAAAACGCGTGCTGTCTACACTCTGACTCACTGGAAGTGGATGGCATGGTCCCTTGGAAGACGACTTTCCTTTATGAACAGGGGGTGAACTCCCTCGGAGTGTCTCCAACGCAAGGACGCGTAGGCACGTCGGGACGCGTTGGCTGGACGGAACTGCGCGGAACTGCGCAGTGGTCAGCGCGGTATGCGATGTGGTCTGAAGGCGATGTGGTACATCCATGGCGTTGGTTTGTAAACCACACCGGTTGAGTGTAAGCCGGTGGCCGGTGGAGTGTGCAGTGTTTTGGATGATCAACCCGATGTTTCGTGAATTTGAAAGGGTCTTTTTTGCTCAACCTCCATCATGTTCATCATGAGAAATTACAATAATATAACTCATGACGCCTTGTGCGTGTTGCCGCCCTTTGTCAAACAACGGAAACAGTTCCCATGATGCCATCAATGATAAGATGTAAGTAGGCGGGGACTCTGTGGAGGGTGATGAGCTGTAACAAAAGATTCACAACAATGAGTCAAGAACAGCATGGAGACCTGCCACACCAAGGCTCCTGCCACGGTGCTGCCCACCAGGTAAGGCGCTGGTGTTGGTAGCGCGGTGGTCACATTGGCATAAATCAGATAGCCTGCGGCATTGTGGGCGCAGGCAATTTCCGCATGAGGCGCACGGTGTGCGGCGTGCATGAAAGTGCTGTGGTCGCAGCTGGGTCAGAATGAACTTCGAGAACTCAGATTGAGGTTCAAAAACGACTGATAAGACCGTGCAAGCCTGCTTTGCTCCATACGAACGCCGACGCAGCCAGGCCCTAAATTGAAGTCCGATTAGAAGGGCTTCAGGTCACGAACTGAAGGCTTGTCGAAATGCGAAAAGAAAAATCTAAAAAGTGTGGGTTACTACAGTGATCCCCAAATAGATAGTGGATACCTTTTGAACGTGGGGATCTATTTGGAGGTTCTGTTTTGTGTGTTACTAGTTACTAGTGTGTTGATCTCACAACCTCACCAGCCAAGTTTGACCCGGCGCGCCCAGTTCCGGGGATCGGCGGGTTGGAGGTGCCTTGGAGTCCGCCAGCGCCCACGCGCAGGGGCTCACCCCAGGCGATGACGATGGAGCTGCCAGACTGATCCGCCACGTGGATGGTTTCTGAGCGAGACGTAGGCGGCCGGCGATCCGCGGAAGATGGGTATGGAAGAAATGGATCTGGGGAATCCATTGTGGGGGAGGATCATTCTTTGACTTTCCCACTGGGAATCCTTTGCTTCATGCCGTCAAAAACCTTATACAAGTAACTTTAATAGCCAAAGAATGATTTTCTCCAAGGTAGTTTGTGGCCTGGTAGAAATAGGGGTCGCAGCTTTGACACACCTCATGCCTTTGGAGAGGCTTCCTTCAAAGCCAGTGCCGGCTCCGCCCTCACTGACAGAGTTCATGGTCTTCCAAAAAAGGCTTCGAAAGCCACTGAGCACATGAAAAAGAACACGCTTCAATGGTCTCCCAGGGCCCTTGACTTTGCATCCATCCGACCAAGGCAAGGGGATACATTCCGGCAAAACCTCCACGCCCACAGCAATCCAAAGTGCGAGGCATCGTGCTGTAGCCAGAGGCAGGCATCACCTAAATCATCGGACTCGGACATGATCGGCTCAGCTTCATCGGGCTCGGGGCTGGGAATGCCCTCCCGCATGTTGACTGGCAAACATACCATTGATCTCCCACCCGATCGGGCCCCATTGGGCGCTGGAAAAAGAAAACGGTTTCATGGCGTTTCATCCTTCTGAACTATATGGGAGAAGATGCGGGAACATCCATGCGCCAATCCGTTCGTTTGAGATCCAAAAGCAGATATCTTCCAGTGCATCCAATGGTGAAAATCCCCATGACAACTGGTCGGTATACTGGACAGTGCCGCACATTCCTTGTATATTGGCAGTTTCTGTATAGGGTACAAGTTTTGGCACAAGAATAGACATATATGTTATACAGTTAATTATACAAGACACCGGTGGTTCGCTACTTTTTCAGGATTTCTTGCGCCAACCGTCGTTTTCTGGCCGTACCCACCCGGTGCGCCCTGCCATCCCATCCCCTCATCCCGCCACGGCACTATGCCTTGGCTCCAGGGCCCGTTGCCCGCGCCGCTCACCGCGCGCACCGCGAACTCGTAGCTGGCACCGGCCGACAGGCCGTCGAACTGCATCTCCCGGTCTTCGGTGGACCTGGTGAAGCACGTGAAAACACGTGGTGTTCCTAGTAGCGATGCCAGCAGCCTCGTTCGTAGCTTCTTGTTGCTAGTTACTAGTAATTCGTAGTATGGCCGGGCAGGACAGGAGCCCCTAGTACCGTCCTTGCTTGGACAAAGCTGGGAGAGACATCCACCAAGGCATGGTTTAAGAGCGTAGGTAGAAACGAAGGCGGAAGCAGTGACCAACTGTACTCGCACCTGATGTGAATGTGGAGTGACAAGGAGAGTAACGCATTTCAAGGGGAATGGTTCACTGACTGATGTCTACAGAGTCTACTGGTTTGGAGGTGTTAGGCTTTGATTTCGAGTTCCTGTGAAGAGCAAGTCTCCACACAGCGGCAAAATCGTGGGTTGTGCCGATGGATTTTGCCCAGCCATTCATGAATTCATGAACAAAATGGGTTCCAAACACAAACCAGGTCTGCTCAGCTGGTGTGCAGCTCTCCGCTGTCGATGAAGTTTAGTTCTCCCTCCACCTCCGAGTGAATTCCTGTGGCGGGGATACTTGGTAATTACATCGTTGTACTCGCAAGCTACAAGACATCCAGCACGTCTGATGATTCAACTCAAGTTTGAAACACCGACGACCATCAAATGCCATCTGCTTCACTGGAACATCCCAGAGCTGGGGCATCGAACTTCAAAAAACACCTCCTCCACCGCATTTCAACCGGAACATGGGGCCGGGGCCACCAGAGCACTCAGCATCGTTGGAATCGGCCTGGTGTTTCTCAAGACCTGTGAGCTCCGCAAGGTCTCTCCAGACTGAAGCACCGTCACAGGCGTAAAGCCCACCTGTCCAGACCGAGAAAGGAAGGAGGGAAGGAGTGCAGAAAGAACGCGTGTCACCGAAAATGCTCACCACCGCCCGCGAGAGAGGCTGGAATTCATCCGATTTGGTTGGGGGCTGGGTCCGGTGATGGAACATGTCTAGTCCCGCTTCGAGGTGATCACAAACAGTCTGTCTTGGGGCCACTCAAAAGAGTCTGACCGAAGAGTCGCGCTTTTTGCTCCATGGAGTCAGTGGACCAGCTGCCCACTGGAGGAGGCGTTGTCGCTCTTTGCTCGCAATCATTTGCCACAGACATTGGTGGTTGGAGTCCACCCTGGTCCGTTGCTGTTCTTTCTGTTCCTTCTTGTTTTCATCGTCGGTGACAACTTTCCAGGCGAGATCCAAAGTCTGCTCCCGATTTGGTCTGAGCCCGGTGAGCCTCAGAACAAACCCTATCTATCTTCGACTTCTTCTTTTCGAAGCCTGAAAATCTTCGAAGTGTTCCCCCGAAAAAGGAGTAAATATCTCTCCTACAAACCCCTACTTTGGGGTTTACATCTTGTTGCTTCTGCGCTGGTCAACCAACCCGACTTTTCTGGGACACCATTTCGGCCTCAGCGTATTGATCTCTGGGTACTTGTCGACCATGTAACCATCAATAACTGACATCATTATCATCATTTGCTTGATGGCCGTTCTGGGGAAATGGAGGAAAATGGAACCCTTTGAGACTGGATTCTGCTTGGTTCGGGTTTCTGCGGCCCGTTTTTGGCGGGTCGGGAACGGGCTTCTTCGCCACCGGGTACGCCCCACCTGGTAGTGCGTGATGACGCGGGAACCCACGTAGGAGGGCGGATCCCAGATCTCGGTGGAAGAAGGCGTCGAACAGGATTGGTTTTTCAAACGTAAACAAAGGTCACCAGTGACAAACATGTGAACAAAACATGTCAAAAAAACTGATGTCTTGCTGGGGGTGTAGAGTAAACCTCAAAACCATGTAATTATATGTTCTCTCTATCTCAGCTGGGGTATGATATGAAATACTGTCAAAAATAGCGAGCCCTGCACCGTTTAGAGAGTCCCTACCATGCGGTGTGCTTGCACCGATCGAGGCCTCATTAGACCGCCGGTCTTTCCAAAAAAGAAACGATGCCAACGTGGCGTCGGTCACCAACTCTTCAATAACTTCTATAGGTACCGGATGGTACCGGGTAATGGTAAGGACCCCTAAAACAAACGTTCAGGGTCGCTTCCCCTCCCCCTACTCATGGTAAGGCAGAATGGAGATGAATCGAGTCAAAAAGGATCGGGAAAGAAGGAGAATGATCCAGTCCACCTCACCCTTCTGCGCCCCGAGGGGCCACGGTGATACGGTCATCGGTCTGCACCGGGACTTCGCCACCGGCATCCGGCATCCGGCGGAGGTTGGTGGGCACCTGGCCACCGAGCTTCGAGTAGACGGTGAATGGGACTCCAATCGGTTTGACTGGTGGGGACAGCTCTGCAAGAGATATGAGATATGTACTGGAGGGGGAGGGGGAAAGCTCTAACATATTATCATATAGCTCTGAACCCCCTGGAACTGTAGTTTCATGGAACTGGGTTTCAATATACTAGTTACAACCTTATACACCTGTTGTCCCATTTGCCTTTGCAGCATCTTTGTCGGGTCCAGTCGCACAACTTCCAAGTGTCCCTTCTGGGCTGCACAACCCTCTTCCATTCGGGTCCGGCTTTTGAAGCTTTCAATGTCATCCACACGATTCTCTCGGCTCCAAAGTAGTTCTTCTTGCATGGTCTTGTCATCGGCTCCAGGGACATGTCAGGGAAAAATCACCAGCTGGACACGCGGTGGCAAGTGGTCTTAAAGGCAGGTCATCCTCCAATTCGTCGATTTCGTCACTGAAGAGTCTTTGCTGAAGAGCTTTGAGCTACAGGCATGCCAGAGAAAGGAAGAAGAAGAAGCGAGCGGCAGGACACCATGTTTTGTCGTTTCAGAAGGGAGTGTCTGAAAAACATGTTCATCGGAGCTTTTCTCGGGTTTTCCATGCAGCATGGAAGTGTTTCAAAGCTAAATGAAAAAAGACGCCTGACTGCGGTTCTGCTGAAGAAACTACTAGACCTTTACTACCCGCATCTTGCACCCCACACCATGTTTCTTTTTGCGACTTGAGGGCACGCCGCCTGCGGTGGAGTCATGCATCGTAAGCAGCAAAAACTACACCACGCCTGCGGTGGAGTCATGTAGCAGCAAACCAACTCCAGTGGATCACTCCTGGCCCAGAGGTACATGAGAATGGCGCACGCGGAGCGGCGGACTGGTGGATTCAATCGATGACCCCTCCAACAGACATGGAAGTGGACCATCCCCTATTTTGTAGGCCATTTTCCACCTCCATGATTGTTGGAGGGAGGGTAGTAATAGTAATGTATAATACTGTACTGGACAAGCCATTGAAGAAACCTATTAACGATCACTGTTGACTTTCATGCTGACTAATCATCTGGAGCATTTGGTGAACAACACCACTCTGCGGCGGGTCAACATCAGGACAATACTGAAAGCTAGCCAAATCCACGCAGGGCCCCATGATTGACGTGTTCGACGTCATCCATGTTGATCCATGTTGTGCTTCGCCTTCCCTTTTCATCCCTTCCCTTGTGACAAAGACCACGATCCGACGATCCGTGTCGAAACACCACGCCATCCGCCTCTGTGACTCGCCCTGTGAGAAGAGGTAGGCGGCCTGAAAGACCTCCGCATTCGGCGCCGTTCGAACCGCGCCGCCGTGCTTCGGATCCCGTTCCCTGGAGACGACTCGACGACTCTCCGGCATTTGGACGCGTTCGTTACGGAGCGATCGGACGCTACAAACGGGGCGAAACTGGCCTTACTAGTAACAAGAAGCTACTAGGAACAAGGGCATCGCTACTAGGAGCATTCTTGCTACTAGTCCTAGTAGCGATGCCAGGAGCCCCTAGTAGCGAACAATGCTCGTCCTCATCGAACACGTTGTCCCAACGAGGAAGTCTCGGTCCCACACCCCACTCGTTGGGTCAACCGTAGCCCGTCAGACGCCGGATGAAAAACCCTCAGCCCAAGCTGTACCCCAGCAGTGGAGCAGAAAGGGATCAAGTACTGATCAGTTGGAGCCGAATGTTCGCTCATCTCCAATCCCCCTTTTCCCACCGCCCTCCCTTCCGACCAGGCCACGTAGGTCTCTCCAACGACGAGATTCGACAAGGGCACGTCCACGATCTCTAGCGGAGTGAAGCCACTCGACCAGAGCTCCAACGGCGGTGAGACTCCATCCTGGCCGGAGCTTTTTGGTGGAAAGTAAGTGGAACCAAGTGGTGGAGCTCAAGTGCTCATGACGTTGCACAGCTTTCTGACTCAAGTGCTCTTTGGGATGAACCTGGCGTTCCATTTGGCGTCCAACCTTCAAGGAGGTCAGAAAGCGCACCAACACTGGTAGGGTTGTGTTGCAGGGTTCACATGGGTCTTTGATCGGGCCTCGGATCAATGGTATCAGAATCAGAAACTGATCTGCAAAACGCTCGGTCAAGTCACTTGCCCTTAGCAACCAAGAATCCAAAAGTAGCTAGACTATTACTAGGGGTTCTGGCATGACTCCTGCCCTCGAGAAATGACCCCGCGCCGTCCTGCACGTAGCTTCCGTAGACCTTAGCGCTCTTTCTCTCTTTCTCTCGCCCTTCCATGGAAGTGAGACACTGCAGGTTCTTGAGACAGTTTATAATGTGTATCACACCCGCAAATGGTGGCAAAGGGCATTCGATGTTCAGCTACGAACCACTGCACTTCGGACGGGCACCTCTTCGACCGATGTTCCGATCCGACACGCTCCGCGTGACACGTCGACGTGTCGGGCTGGAGGCGTTGCCACGCGTTTTTGGACGCCACGGCACACGATATTCCACCATGAGCCCTCCGTTGGTCAGGCTGGGTGGTGAAATTCGGATCCTGCAGGGTGGTGACTGGAACTGTGCTGGCTCTTTTTTGGTTCGGTAGATCCTAAACGCATTCCTCATCAACGCCACCTCACCACTTTGATGGTTGGTCAAGGCCACAAACTGGAAAAGCAGTGGCGGGACAGACCCACTTGCCCCACTTACCTTGTGCACCAACGATGCCATGATGTCCAAACCTTTGGATGCCCTGATAGCGCCTCAAACACGCAGGTCCATGACACTTCAGCGAATCAAACCTACAAAGCGTGGAAAGGTGTGATTAGCAATGACAATAATTGTTAGAGGGACGGCAGAAGTGGATTTGATGAAGAATCAAATGTAAAACTCTGACTCTATCCCTTGGGCATCCACGTTCCACGTGCTTGGCATCACCAGACATCCCATGTTCCAGTCCCTTGGGAGTCATCTCCATCTCAGGCCATCTCCTGATGAAGCCCTCGTTGCCATTCTCCACCGCTTCCACGAGCACGGGCATGAGTGGCGGCCCTGCCTGGCGATTCAGCGGTTTCAGAGCCTCACCATGGCCTCACCACGACCTCACCAACCTTCGTGGCAGATCTTTTACCGTTGACTTCTCACCTTACCACAAACATGTGTTCAAAGCAGCATCAAATGAAGATCTTATCAGGTCTCCTGCCATGTCGAAACCATTGGCATCTTAGAATGTGTCTAGGCCATAGCGACTCGGCACCTTTCCAAACTTCCACTTTGCAACGTTGTTGTGCTTCATCCCTGTCCAATACCTCTAACTCTCCTGCATTGCTACGTGCTGGCCGTGGTTGTACCTTCAATGCCTAGGGAGGCGAACCTGTAGATCAACGCTGCCTAGAAGTCCAAGATTGCCCAATGCTGAACTGTTCTGGTTGATCCTCAACTCCTAACCCCCATTTCAACACCAGCCCCTGCAGAAAAAGAAACAACCACGACTTCCAACAGAACACACCAAACAGTCCAGCCATCCTGCCACCCCCACCTGTGCCACTGGCTGCAGTGCGATCACCACTGGTTGGTCGGAGATCCCCCCACCGTCGACTTGGAAGTCCCGGTCCGCTCGGTCATCGTTGGAGGCTCGAATCTCCTCGGCCATCCGTTCGTTTCGGAACCCGGACGAAGGTCGACCGGCTTCAGCGGACCGAACGGGCCGAAGCCGAAAACGACAACGGGTCGATCAACGGCGCGGCCTGCGGTCTACCGGGCTCATCTGCTTGGGAGGCATGAGATGAACGATACAATACGATAAAGAATGAACCTCAAAGATAGGACGTGCGCCTTGTAAAAACGTGTAAACACACATCCATCAGCTTCCGTGATAGAAGAGCAAAACACTTTTAAAATGAAAGAACCTCCTTGGATATAAAAAAGTGCCTAGCCATGCCTAGCCCATCGGCATCTCTCTTCCTCCACTTCTTCTTCTTCTTCTTTTCCTCCTTCCGACTCAACTCTCTCGTCTAGCCTTCCCCGAAGATCAAACACCCAAGGGTCGAATCGATAGAGCTTCGTGGTGTCCAGCAAGGGCCCCACATTTCCTCAGCGCCAATGGCCCAGCGGAAGCGGGGCGTTCGAACGGCGGATCGAAGACTCCAGCCTCACAGGCCACTAAGCTGACTAAGTTGCTGGAACTTGGACAAATATCCGAATATCCTCACAAACCTCTGCATCTAAGCCTAAGCTTGGGAATGCTCCAGAATGCTTCATGTGCTGCTTCCACCCCCACCGGGCAACTTTCACTCCAACCCCAGCACCCCGAACCTCACGGGACTCGCAGTTCAACCCAGAGGCCATAGCCATCGGGCACTGGGATCTCCACTTCGGTGACCGTGGCGGGGATAATCGTGCTGAAGGTCAAGAAACCCACCTCAACCAGCCGCTGAAGCTCGTGACCCAGGTGAATTGAACTCCCCGGAATGTCTTTTTCACCCGGGCGGTTTATGTGGCATGTCTCTTTCTGGCGATGCCGCCAAGGAATGGAGAGACACACACAGTGTGGCGGAGTTGTCCAATTACGTTTCAGAGTCACTGCTGTCACTTAGTTTTCTTCTTCTTCTTCTTCTCCTTCTTCTTCTTCTTCTTCTGTTTCTTCTTCTTCTGCTTCTTCTTCTTATTCTTCTTCTAATCTGTTTATTACTATTGTGATTATGTTTATGTTTCTTATTCTTCTTCTTCTTCTTCTTCTGCTTCTTCTTCTTCTTCTACTTCTTCTTCTTACAGTAGTTGATTGAATGAATGACATGAATGGGTGTTTCGTCCACCGCTTCTTTCCTCAATTCTGCCACCAACAATCTGGCCTCCACCTGAACTTCTTCCGTGAAGTCGCCTCCAACGCCATTGTCCTCGGAAAGCAAGAGACAAGAGATCTCCAAAAACCAGGTCACTTGAGCCATGTCATGTTGAGCCATGGTAAAGAAATATATAAAACCGACATGCTGAACGGGCCAAATCTGAATGGCCGCAAGTGTGTCCAAAAGATTCCCAGGTGTTCAAGATCTCTCTGGTTTTCAAGGCATGGCAAAGGACGTTCTTCCTGCACTTTAAACACTTATTTGTATTTAGTGCTGCTCACATCCCAGTCAAATGCCTGTGGGGTCACTGACCTTGTTCAACCTGCCATATTTTGAACACACCAAAATAGCTGAAAACTTAGTTTCAGGGTGCTCATGCTCCCCCAAAAAGCGATGCCCCATAAAGAATGGACAGCCTGCGCTCTGTCACTTTGCGCAAAATTTGCGGGGCCTATTGCATGACAGCATGGAAGTTAAAGGATCAAACGATAGACAAGTTGTGTCTAAAACTGCCAGAAAAACAATAAAAACATATAAGAACTTTACTAGCTCCACACATTTCAGTGGATTTGCTTTCGCCTCTTCCAAAAAGAATCTACTGCCCGAGTCGCATGCTTCAGCCGATAGCTGGTAATGGCCCGGCCGTTCTGATTCAGCGGGGGCGTCCACCGCACCCGCACCTCCGAACACCGGACGAAGCAGCACCGGTGGCGCCCGTGTGCGCTGGCAAATCCCAACAAGGAAGGCAACAACAAACACAGGTACAGGTACAAGAACAGGTACAGGTACAGGTGGTAGTAGTAGTAGTAGTAGTAGTAGTAGTAGCAGGAGTAGTAGTAGTAG